GCCGTCACTTCCGGTTGTCACAGGAAGTGATCAAAGAAATCGAAAATTTCAACTTTTCTTTTTTGAATTTTTTTTTGCATCACATTATTGCATCTTATTTGTAGTTTCGAAATATGTTGGTCCCACCGGAAACAAAAACGTCAACTTCCGGCTATAAGCGAAATACTGCATAATTTGAGTATTTTACTTTCCCATAAATATTTTTTATAGACAATGTATTTGAACTGATTTTTTAATATGTTATCAAGACTGCAAATGTCTAGAGTAACGTCAAATATCTTTGTAAAATTCACTTCCGGTCGCGCGTTTAAATGTCCACAAAATGAGAACTTGTCCCAGTGATATCTCAGAAACGTTAAGAGATTTAGACACCAAACTTATAGGAGTATTAGACCTTGAGAAGTAGACAAAACCATTTGGGTTAAGAGCGTCAGTCGTCACTTCCGGTCGTCACAGGAAGTGATCAAAGAAATCAAAAATTTCAACTTTTCTCTTTTGGAATAAGACTTGCATCATATTATTGTATCTTTTTCACAGTTACGATATGTGTTGGTCCCACCGGAAACAAAAAACGACAACTTCCGGTTATAAGAGAAAAACTACATAATAGGGTATTTAATTTTCCCATACATATCGCCTATAGATAGAGTTCTCTAAATGATTTTTATATATGTTATTCAGACTGCAGATGTCTAGAGTGATGTGAAATATTTTAGTAAAATTCACTTCCGGTCGCGTGTTTTCTTGTCCTCAAAATGAAAAGTTATTTCAGCGAGATCTCGGAAACGGCATGAAAGTAAGACACCAAACTTATAGCAGTAATACAACTTGGTGAGAAGGCAAACCACATAGGGTTAAAAGCGTCAGTCGTCACTTCCGGTGATCACAGGAAGTGATCGAAGAAATCAAAAATTTCAACTTTTCTTTTTTAAAATTAAAACTTTCATCACTTTATTGCTTCCCTTTCGCTGTTTTGAAGTATGTTAGATTCCACCGGGGAAAAAACTTTAGTCTTCCGGTTTTAAGAGATAAACTACGTTATTTCGTGGTTTAACTTTCTCATAAATATCACTTATAGATAAGTATTTGAAATGTTTTTTACATATGCTGTAGATACTGCAAAAGTCAAGAGAAAATTCAGAGATTTTTATTCAGTTCACTTCCGGTCGTGTGTTTTCCTGTCTTCAAAATTAGAATATGTTCTCACAATTGTTTGGCAACAGTAAAAGACTGAAGTCTAAAACTTTGAGGATTTATAGTCAGTCATCAGTTCATTTGCTTCGTGTAAAAATCGCGTGTCGTCATTACTTCCAGTCGTGACAGGAAACGAAGCAAAAAAGTATTTTTTTAAGTTATTTTGTTTCTACATAAGTTTTAGTCTAATACCGACGTTGGAAAAAGACATGTTCATGCAAACAGGAAGTAGTATAACGGAAGACCTTCTCATTACTAGTAATGAGTTTCTAGTTATTATTCTTATTTTTTAGACAAATTTTGTCCAAGCAATATCTCGAGAACTATTCAGTGGTTTTTCATCATTCTTTCAGGGATAACGCGCCAGTTAATGGCATTGTTACATTCATAAGAATTTTGGAAAAATTCGCTTCCGGTTCCAAGTTATGGACATTTTTCTGATTTTAAAATGAAATAGTTTCCGCGGGATATCTAAAGAACAACTAAAGATATGAACTGGAGACTTGTTAGAGACTATAGAACATGACTTCTAGATGTGCAAATCGACCTTGATTTTCGTCATCAGCACTTCCGGTCGCTACCGGAAGCGAATTAAAAAAGTCGAATTTTTCAACTTTTCTGCTTTTCAATATTTTTCTATGATATTTGTAGGGTTAATAGAGACTCTTTTAAGAATGGTAAATATATAATTTGTTTTAAAATTGATAAATCCAATCTCTAGAGAATTTTATTATTCTCTTTTTTTTTAGACAAAATCTTCTGCACGCAAATTCTCGAGAACTATTCAATGAATTTCTTTGAAATTTTCAGAGATAAAAGATCTTTATATGAGTTTTATATGAAATTCCGTTTTTTGGTAAATTCGGTTCCAGTGCCGAGTTATGGACATTTTTTTGATTTTAAAATGAAACTTTGTCTGTGAGTGTTTTCAAGAATGGCTAAAGATATGAACTGGAGACTTGTTAGAGATGATAGAACATGATTTTTAGATTGGAGAGGGGACCTTTTCTTGCGTCGTCGTTACTTCCGGTCACTACCTGAAGCAAATTTAAAGAATCGATTTTTTCTACTTCAATATTTTTCTGTTATATTTGTAGTGTTAAGAGAGCCTCTTTTCAAAATACTAAATATATAATTTGTTTTCGAAATGATAAATCCAAACTCTAGATATTCGTCATTTTCACTTTGAAGCGGGAGTCCAAATGGCGAAATGGTTAGCGCGTTGGATGTTCACGCTGACGACAAGGGTTAAATCTCCAGTGTGTCTGATTTTTTTTTTATCACTTTTTAGCTTCAATTTACGTTTTCATTTTCAAAATCGGATGGAAGACCTCTCATTGCTCGCAATGAGTTTCTAGTTATTATTATTATTCTTTTTTTCTACTTTCTTCTCCCGTACTTTTTTGTCCGGGAGTGATCTCATAGAACCACTCATCCGATTGACATGAAACCTTTTTAGGATTAATAGGCATGCTGTGTAGGTGTTCGGAACGAAGGTCATTTTGCACGCACATGCATGCACGTGCGCGCGCGTGCAATGAGTGAAATGACTGATATACTTGATGACGCCGTAACTTTTATATTTCTTGATGAATTGCTTTGAAACTCAAAATATAAAGATACATTAGTAATCTAGACAAGATAACATGGTCAAATTAGTGTGAACTCACGTGCATGCAAGCGCTCTTCTCTGATTGGCTGATACAAAAATCTCAATAATTTCCTTGTTTTTTGACAAAATGCTTTGAAATTTAGAATATATGTATATATTATAAGGTGCTACAACATGTTATATAGGAAATTTCTTGAAAACAGGCGCATGCAGGTGTGCTGCAATCTGATTGGTTGAAACTTTAAATGTCTATAACTCCCTTGTTTTTCAACAAAACTGGATGAAATTTACGACATGGATAGGCACATAGAGCTCCTACATTATGATACTATCAAAATTGAATGCAAGGCCATGCATGCGCGTATGCTGAATTCTGATTGGCTAATACTTAAAGGGTTACATCTCTCTTATTTTTCAATGAAATTCTTTAATATTTCACACAAATGTATGTATTGTGAGACACTATGAGAAAATTAATGTGAAAAATGTAGAAAACATGTGCAAGCACATGCGCTGAAATTTGATTGGCTAATACCCATATGGCTATATCGGAGTAGTTTTCCAACGAAATATCCTTAAAAATAAAGTGTCCATCTATATTACAAAAGTATTGTCTAATTTATTTTCCATGTATTATGCCCCGAAACACCTTATCTGACCAAGCTAAAGTTAAAAAGCATTATTAAAGGAATTTATTTCTCAAATTTGAGAAATTTGTAGGCATCTTTTATTTACTAGATCTTGACCTTAACATTTCGATGTCTTACACACAGCGAAAGAAAAACACGGATATAGGTTGTAATCTGGACATTTGATTATTTTTCTACGACAGAAGTTCGTTAATGAAAATGGAATCGTCAGGCAGCCTCCAATGTCTTATTCATTCAAATTCTGACTATAATAAAACAATTATGGCTGAATATATAATAAAACAATTATGAACTCTTTCGATGGTGAATATGGTTTGTTATTCACCAGAAAAATATCAATATTGACCGAGGCGAAGCTAAATATGATGAACTAAGTGGACCTTTTAGTATACTTCAGTATATGACAAAAATATATTTTTTTACTGATGTTAATAAAATTATAAATTCCTTTTTCTGTTCATTTTCCATAAAGTTATTTAATAATTCACTTTATGTTTATTGCTTTCTTTGGCTGTAATATTTTTATATTTGAAAGAAATATTTTGACTATGAATAATGATAAAGTATTTTTAAGTATCTTTTTCTTTTATTTTATTTTCTTATCTTTCGGTCCTTTGGCTTTAATATTTTTATGTTTCAAAAATGTCTTAAATCAAGGCTCTACACTAAGGAGGCTTACATGTGGCTAGAGCTGGAAACGTGAGGAAACTATGGATATTTTTTCAGATATTAAGATTTTTATTATCATAAAGATCAGAAAGAATTCATACCTGGGAGATATATTGGAGAAAATACACGGCTTATACTTATAATTTCTGGTTTCTCTTGTATAAAAATGAACAGTAGAGAGTTAAATATGAAGAATATATGAAATTTAAAGAAGGTGGAAAGACCTCTAATTGTTCGAGAACAATTAGTCTACTAGTTTTAATCATATTTCATTTTTATTCATTTTTTATTTCCTTTTATGTATTTATAATCATGTTAATTCTTATTATAAAATTCATATATAATATTATTCACTTTTTATAAGCATGAATATTTTTCACGTAGGCCCTATAACTTGGAACCGCGATTTTAAATCGGGCGTGGTATACGGTATACCACGACAACTAGTAATGGCGTCCGATTTCTGTCGATTCTCGGGTAAAATTGGCTATAAAAATGTACGGATAACACTATCATCCTAGTAATCACCACCTAAACCCTTTTTGTATCCCAACTCATTCATTTTTATGGGGATTTTACGTTTTTGTCGGGGATTCTTGTTTCTGTAGCGGGATTCTCCCGAAATCCCGGGATTCCTGAAAGTCCTAGCACCGCAGATAACATGGATAACAGGATAGCCGACCCCCCCCCCCCCCCCCCCCCAAGTATAGTTGAGTTACTCAGGAATACTCAGGAATAACCTATTTAAAAAAGTTGCAAACAAAATAAAATACATAACTCTATATATAAGCTAATAGTGGCCCATAAAGACAAGCGTTTGAATTTTAGACTATACGACTGTACGAGTCGGTTTGTGTACGAAGTGACTGTAAATCGTCATAACATCTGCTGCCTTCTCAGGTTGGAAGCTCAAGATGGTTTGTGGAGGTTTTATCTGCTCCAAGACCTCCCTGACGGCCCTAAATGTGTTGTACATAGTAAGTTTAAGACTCATAATTCATTATTTCTTACGAATGAATGTGGACGTGTCTTAAAGAATGTCGGACACGGCAGTGTCTATATGCACGACCGTCGTGCACTTACTTTTTCATCGGCTATTCACACGATCGTCGTGTATATAATTTTCCAATGACTATTTGCACGACCGTCGTGTATATAATTTTTCATTGACTATTTGCACAACCGTCGTGTCTTGTATTTATTAATCAGCTGTTCGCACGACCATTATCTTTTATATAACACGAACTTATTATGTCATTCGTTGTTTCGTCCCCAGTTAAGTTCGGCACGCAGTGGTTTAACTGATTCAAGCCTAGAAGCATTTTAGTAAGAAAACATTAGAAAAACTTTTTCATAATGTTAATTTATATGCTAAAGTGACATATAGGTCGGTGTAATGTAAATCTGTTTCTATTAGAACTACCCTTGTATTTGTATAATATACACGTCACTATAACGTTTACCTACTATTTTGGTAGGCTTGCGGTTTACCCCCCTCCATCTCAGCCTAGTCCGAAATATCTGACGTTTTCCAGGCTTTTTTTTTTTTTTTTTTTTAGCGATTTTGATATTTGATGTTCCTGGAAAAGCACGTCAAATTAAATCCCACCAATTAATAAAGTCCCCCGCCACAGCATGATACGCCTGTCAAATATTGTTCAATTATCAAAAACAGTTTAGAGTGCAAGAAATTCATGTCAACCTTGATACTGGTAGGAGGATTTCCATGATTTTTCCATTCTTATAATATTTGTTTATACATCTCCTGTGGTGTAGGCATTAACAAATATTACATTATAGATCCTCAACTGGTTGTGTTAGAGCTTGACAAATGCCCATCTGCAGCCCCTCCCCCCCCCCCCCCCCAATCTTTCATATTTGTGAGACATGATGCTTTAGTTGATATTTTCAACAAATGTAAAAATATCATATTAAGCAATATCAATTTAGTCTTAACAACTTAATCTATACCAAATTAATTTTGAAAATAAAAAGGCTGGCCATCAAATGACATATGCTATAAACTGACCAGCAGTTGTTCTGTCTAATTCCCAAAGGATACAGATAAGAGCTGCTTGATCAGAGATGCTCTAGCAGAAATGACTGAGACAGCTAGCCTTTCTACACTGAACTCATTAATTAATCTTTAACTGGATGCATGTCCACTCATTACTCCCAAGGGATGAATGGATCTGCACTATTTGCTTTGTAGTGCAATAAAAATGCATATTTATGTCATCCTGAAGTTAAATTTGAAAACAAAGATTTTTTTTAAAAATTTGTTACAAAGATTTCTAAAAAGAAAAAAAACTTTTGTCATCTTGATGCAACATTATTAATAAGGTTCCTGCATGACTCTTAGATTTGTAGTGGCTATCTACCATAATTAAAACATTTTTTTTAAATACTTGATTTTTTTTTAGATTTAATGTCACACTAGCTGGTTTTAAGCTGCAATCATGTGGACAATGGGCATGCTGATTTCAACATTAACCCCCCCCCCCCCCAATTAGTTTATTATAAAATATCAACAAATTTTATTTAATTATCATGCAGTATCAAATTAGTTTTAATTACTTTTCACCAAATTCATTTTAAAAGTTAGGCTAGCCTGTGAACAAGAACTACATGTATTTAATCCAACATTTGCACAGTTCCCAAGAGATATAGATAACACCTGCTTGATCAGAGATGCTCTACCAGTTAGCTCCTCACACTAAACTCATTAATTTCTCTCTAATTTGACATGCAATTTTCTGTTATCAAAATTCTACTTGACCAGTGCTTGATAATTAAACCCATGGGAGAGATGGAATTTCTCTTATAACATTACATTTGTTATAGATTGCTGTAAAGTATATAATGGAAAAAATAAGTATTTTCTTGATTTAACATTTTTTTTAATATGTATACTGCAACACTCTTACATTTTTTGGGATTGTGTAATTTAATAGTACAAAGACATTTTTTTTTAAAAATTGCACTTAAATTAAAGGTCACAGTGACCTTGAAATAGGTCGCGACACACCTTCTACCTAAGATGCATAAATTGGCCAAGTTTGATGATTCTAAGTCTCATAGTTTTCTAGTTATGAGCCGGACAGGATTTTTCCATATTTGGCCATAACATCTTAATTAAAGGTCAGAGCGACCTACTTTTAATGCGCGACACACCTTCTACCCAAGATGCATCAGCTGACAAAGTTTGATAACTCTAGGCCTAATAGTATTAAAGTTATGAGCCGGACACGAAAAGCTAACAGACGGACGGACGGATGGACATGAACTCTATAACATAATACGTCCTGTCTTAAGACGGGCATATAAAAAGAGTCATAGAACATCGGATAAGCATAATTTTTCCTGCTCTAGCGGTGATTTCTTAAATACACTTTTTAACCAAAATTTTGTCATACAACCTTAGTTATTACACACGTGTAATCTCAAATTAAACAATAATGATATTCATATGTTAATACATATTGTAGTTCCCTTATATAATAATTCTAAAAATCATCAAGTTTGTATGAAGTATGTAGTAAATATTGAGGTATATCTCCTAAACGACGACAAACCACTCCTAACCAGTAAAACAACATTTGAATAATTTTGTGTATGACGGCACTTTATTTTGGTTAAGGTGAACATTTATATATATTCATTTTTCTTCTCATATTATTTTAAGATTTGGCAATCTGTCTTAAATTTATCATTCATTATCAATGACTTCGTGGCGCAGTGGTACACGATTGCTGAAATGTAAATGTGGTGATTCGAGTTTGACCTCAAGATTTTTTCCAGTTGTGCTCTTTTAATTTTTTTTTCTTTCATGTGTATTTTTTTATACGTTTTCTTTAATATTTTAATAATAAACATAGCTTCAGAGAGTCATAATATACGCGTTACACTTTGAAAGTATCTCGGGAAAAGACAGTTCTAAACTATTTCATTAAATTTTGCATAACTGCTTGTTTTATTTTTATTGAGTTTCTAAATCTTTAGTCCCAAAATTAGAGTAATTTGAACATGTAAAATGACTGTTATATGACACATTTGCAACTATGAAAATATAACACTCGTCCGCAAATGATATTACATTGGTTGAAAGTACTGCTCACGTTCAATTTTTTATGTCATCAATTTGGTCATCAATATATCATTGAAATTCCATGGCAGATCCAGAATATAACATGTGTGAGTGCACTGTGTGGTTGAGGGCCAAAAGGGTATACAGGAGAGTATAACCCTGTAATGTAACTTTTAACCCCCCACCCCCTCCTATCATCGCTAGCCAAGTGTGAAAGTTAGTGTCTACCCCTGGTGATCTGCACATCTTCTCTTTTAGAACGGATGTCGAGTGATCAACCCCCTTTCCAATTTTATTTTCGTTTCTAATCTTCATTATTATTATTTTTTTAATATAGATTTGTTTTCTTTTTCTATCATACTGCTTCATCTACATTTTTATGGAACTGATAGAAATTATATTACGATTCGGTTGTGTTCTTCAGCACACTTGAATAGCTCATAATATACCCATCCTCTAGCTGGAGCGTCCATATATTTTATACATGTATGTAAAATAATCAAAATTATCCACAAAAGAAGCTGTACCGTAAAAAGAAAGGGATGTGAAAGGAAATGGTTGTGGGCCATAATATTTAATTCAGTTTCAAATAGAAATATGTAAATGAAGTAGTCTGTAAACTTTAAGTATGAAAAGAATAGAAATAGAAAGACTTAAGGATGTGAGAGAGAACCATAAAGGGGGCATGATCATGTGTCCCAGTCTATAGCCAGACTAAAACTAATACAGTGTGGTATTTATGTCCCCATCCTGTTTCTAAACTTAATATGTATTTTACAATTCAGATAGGGGATTGCCTACAAAAGTTTTTTTTTTTTTTTTTTTATCTGAAGTTGGAGTATAGATCTTATACAGGTGTCAATCCCCCATACGTTTTACATTTTTTTTTTAACATGAGGTAAAATTGAAAAAAAGTTGAGGTAATTAAATATCAACATAAATGTAATATTTACTATTGTGTGAAACAATCAATTGCTTGCATTTCTATTTAAAAAAAAACTGTAAATAAAAAAAAAAGATTAAACGTACATGTGCACATAAAGCCAGAGACAGGCTCATCTCATCCTCACAATGTCAAAGTTTAGCCCACACAAATCTGATCGGGATCGGATCTCTTTAAATAATCAATTAGTTTTTATTTTTATTTTACCAAATTCTTCCTAATTTAATGTGTGTAAAAGAAAAGAAATGTCCGTTCATAAAAACATTCATTTAATAATATCATTTAAATGTCAAAAAATTTTGACATGAATGTTCATACTGGAGTTGGGGTCAAATTCTTTTTACAAACAACGTCCCGTGTCTTCGAGCACAGGTCGGGCGTGTAATATATGCATAATAGCTATTACCGTCGTGTGCATATCTCTGGCAATGTGCGATTGCTATTTGCACGACCGTCGTGTAAATAGATTTTTTTCTTACCTATGTGCACGACGGTCGTGTTTATATCTCAGCAATTTGCAATAGCTATTCGCACGACCGTCGTGTAAATAGACTTTCTTTTCTATGCGCACGACGGTCGTGTATATATCATCGGCCGTCGGACACCTTCAACCCAACTACACCTCGGCCCATGGACATTTAACGTTAAGCCCCACAAGGTTAGCTTTTTCAAAAAAGCTGAAAGTCAGCCATTGGAATACAGAAAGTTTGTTTCATGCTTTGTAATGTTGTATGATTTGTTTTATTCATCATGTTGTGTTCCTCAAAAGTCATTGTAATCTAAGTTAAATTCGCCTAATCGTTTAATTTCTTATTTGTAACATAATATTGTACATAATAAATAAAAAAGCATAGAATAAATTTTAGTTAGACTAAATCGTGATCATTATGATGACCTCCAATTAATTTCTCTTGGGCGCAGACATCAGAGAAAGTGTATACATTTTC